GGTAGAACAAGTCTGCAGCAGTCTTTGCTGTAGCACTTTTAGTGGTGGGGATGGAGATTTGGCGTTTAGACAATCTATCAACAGCTACCCAAATGTTATTAAACCCTCGTTTGTCTGGTACCCCCACATCGTGAAAATCCATCGATATATCATCCCATGTACGTTCTGGAATGGCTAAAGGCTGTAGTAAGCCCGGTGTCTTGTCTCTAGGCTTATGCGATCGTCGGCAGACATGGCAGTTCTGCACATAACGCTCGATGTCTGCTGCGTATCGTGGCCACCAGTACCGGTCGCCGATTAGTTTCCTCATTTTGTTTCGTCCTGGATGAGCGGTGGATGTAGATTCGTGGATCATCTTCAACACTTGAGTACGGAGATTGTCTTTGGCTGACACCACCACGCGTCCCTTATGAAGCACCAACCCGGTAGGTTCCAAAGAATAAGGTTCTTCCCGCTGTCGTGCTTGCTGGCGTAGATCCTCGAGATCGGGATCTGCTCGGTTGGCCATAAAAATACGATCAATAGTATCCAGATCCTCGTCGATGGGCGCTAACACCTTGCTGTCATGTGGCAACGTAACTTTCTTTTGAGGGAGGAGGATTTTCGTACGTTCCAGTTCTTTTGCAGCTTTTTGTGTAGGGGTAAGTTCTTTCTTGCGAGATAACGCGTCTGCCAGAATATTTTCCTTGCCTGGTCGGTACTGAAGGTCGAAACTGAATTGCGATAGCACCTCTGACCATCGGATTTGCCTATCGTTGAGTAGCTGCTTCTGACCAAAGTATTGCAGAACTCGGTGATCAGTCAGAATCACGAACGGCTCCCAGGTGCTGGTGAGCTCTGCGCGCCATTCTTTCAAGCATTGGATGATAGCCAACAGCTCCTTATCATGGATCTCATAGTTTGCCTCCGGACCAGTCAAGGTTCGGGAGTGAAAAGCCACAGGATGCCACACGCCTTCCTCCTGCAATTGACTGAGTACTCCTCCTGTTGCTAGATCAGAACAATCGGTCTCTATACGTGTAGGCTTCTTCTGATCGAAGTACAGTAAAATGGGTGGGCTGACCAATTTCTCTTTCAGGGCAAGGAACGCTTCTTCAGCTTGCTCGGTCCATTGGAACAACTGGCCTTTTGGGATTGCTGTCAGGTTGTACAGTGGCTTAGCGATCCGGGAGAAATTCTTTATAAAGTTACGGTAATAGTTGCAGAACCCCAAGAAGGATTGAATGGCAGTCTTGCTAGTAGGTCTCTCCCATGCGCGAATACTTTCCAGCTTCTTCGGGTCTGGCAGGAGTCCGGAAGTGTTAACAATGAAGCCCAGAAAATTAACAGATTTTTGATTAAAGCGGCACTTCTTAATATCCACCTGCAGTCCAGCCCTGTCCAAACGCTGAAGGACCTCGCGTACTTCTGCCACGTGTTTACTTTTATCTTCAGAGTGGACGCATACATCATCCATATATGCGGAAACGTAACGAGCGAGCAGATCGCCTAGGACCGAATTGATATATCTTTGGAAAGTGGCCGGGCCACCTGACAGACCAAAAGGTAACACGCGGTAACGGTATTGACCGAATCGAGTACGAAACGTAGTCCATCCCACGGAGTCTGGATGCATCCGGATACGGTTGAACGCATGGATGACATCTAGAATGGTGAATTTCTTAGAACCAGCCATCTTGGCTAATGTCTCACCAATGAGGGGCAGAGGATAGCGATCTTTCCGCGTGTGTGCGTTTAATTTCCGGTAGTCTACACAAAATCGAAGGTCTCCATTCTTTTTCTTGACAAACAAGACCGGGGAATTGAACGGAGAATCGCTGGGTTCGATGAACCCGTTCGCCAGGTTCTCCTCGATGTAAGCATGTACGGTATCTAGCTCTTTCTGATTCATTTTATAGAGGGGAGCTTGCTTGAGCTCAGGCTCGCTATCCAGATTGATCTTATGGTCGAACTCCCTATGCGGCGGCAATTCCTTTGCGCGTCTTTTGGAGAAGACATGGGCAAGATCGTGATATTCAGGAGGTAATTGGGCCAACAATTGTGTCTTCTCTTCTTCTTCAGCGAGCTCCGCAATGTGCGCAATCTCTGTACCGTCGCAAGCGGTTTCCATTTCTACGAACCAGCATTGGTCTTCCGCTTCAATTGTCTCAACCTCGACGGCTGAAAGCGTAGGTGTGTCCATTTCGTCTAGACCCAGATCCTCCTTTTTCTTATCGTAGGCTTCTTGTCGCTCCTGCAGTGTAGGCCGGGGAGTCAGAATAATTGAAGGGGTCGCCGGCGCTTCTGCTACCATTGCAGGGCGTTTCAATATCTGCTTTGGCATAAAATGTGGAGATCTTTTAGCAGGAGGTTTGTTGATTTCTAGAGGGGGCAGTTCAATCAGTCGGTCACGACGGTTAGCGTCCCACTGATGATCATTGCGGTCTTCTGGCCACCACAGCCGGTGTCGCACGCAATCTGGGAGTACGTTATGATAGGCCAGCCACTGCCGACCGAGGATCACATTGTTCTTGTTACCAAGTGTGGTAGCAAAGAACGGCATGTTGACTCGGTGCGAGTCTATAGTCAGTGTCATCACGTAGGCATGGCGTAGAGGTCGGGATGATCCGCCGTCGAAGCCTCTGATAGAGAGTGGATGACGGAGATTGTAGCGCGTCATCTTAATCTTACTATTTCGGTACCAATCACGCAGTTGTTTACGATCTGCGAAGGCATATCCATTAGCGCCGGTATCAATGAGGGCAGAGATTGGAAATTGGGAATTGTTTTTAGTTTCAAGAGTACAATCTATAACTAATGGCCTTCCGCCAAACAAATTTTCCAAATCAATGCCATTTACTCGATACGTGTTATTCTCTAGGAAGGCGACTTCTCCTAGAGACAATCTTTTCCCTCATCGGAGCTCATGGTGAATTCCGATCCAGATGCTTCAGCTTCCTCCTTCTTCTTCGCATCCACCTCATTGACTTTAGCAGTAGGACACGCGTTAGCGTAGTGACCAGTCTTGTGGCAATGGAAGCAGACACCAGCGTTTCGGGCCAAGACTTTTGGCTTGGGTGGACCAGACGCTCTTGGAGGTGCAGTACGAGTTAGGCCCGGCGGGAGAATTGGCTTCTTGTACCTGTCCTTGCGTTGTTGGTAGCGAGCGGCTTGATCCTCCGATTTGCGCGCTAATTGCAGGTGTGGTTCTATTTTCAAGCAGTGTTGAGACATCTCCAAGGTAGATTCAAAATCCAATCCGGCTATGACATTTTGCAACTTGGGACTCATTTTTTCGCGAAGTTCATCCATGCGGTCTTCGTCTCTAAGTTGCAATTGAGAAGCGAAGGTCAGGAACTTAGTGAAGAAGGCTGAGAAGCTGTCATCCCCTTGTCGGAGTTTCTTGAAGTTGGCACGAGCTTCGGAGCGCTTCTGTCCTCGGGTCTTGCCGTAGGCTCCTCGCATAACTTCGACGATAGACATCGCAACAGTGATGTGGTTGACGCTTTCTGGCTCGAGGTAGGGTTTTATGAATTCCTGTGCATCACCACCAATAAAGCCCAAGAGGTAATTGATCTTGTGGTTTTCATCATCAAAGTAGATCGAGTCGCCGTTCAACTTGCGCTTAACAGCGTGTTCCCAGTTCTCGAAAGTAGGATTATGGGAACCCATGAAGGTGGGTGGGTTCTCAATCTTCTGGCGGTGGCGGAGTTGCTTAGCCTGTGGGTCACGGACCTCTTTGTATCTTGGTGGTATCTCTGAGGCCTCACAGCCGGCAGCGTCTTTCTCAACAGTGTTATAGGCTGCAGATCCTCGCACCGACTTGGATTCCTCCTTCTGCTTACCCTTATCCTTGGCCTTGAGATCTAGAGTGACCTCTGCGAATGCAGCCTTCCAGCGCTCAGCTTCCTCCGCCCAGGATTGTGCCATTTTCTCTGCCTCTGCCTTCTGCTCCAATGTATCTCGAAGGTAGTTGCTGCTGTTGTTGGCGCGATCAGCCAGGGCGGTACACATAGTCTTAAGGGTATGTTCGTGACGTTCTTGATCAGTCTCCTTCTTGACTTCAGCAGCGCGGCGTTTGTTTCTCTTGTTGTAATCCTTGTCCAACAATTCAAAAGTGACTTTCTGATACCATGGAACATCAATCTTCGTAGTGAGGTCCTCCTCTTCCCCGGGTGCGCGGGTGGCGTACACCGAGGTTGTGAAGTCTTCCTTCGGCCACTCTCCTGGCATCTTCTGCTTTCCTTTATTAGCGAGACAATTAGCCAATGACTGTCCAGATAATCGTGAGCGAAACGCTGTCCACAGATTACTGAGTCTGAAATTAGTATTTTACCTCTCTACAGAGGTCGCGTTGAGTAGTTTAGGGAGCTTAGTATTATGTCACGGCGTAGAATAGGCATAAGTGAAAGTACAGCTTGTATGGCGATAATTCAATCTGTTAAACTCCTTGCCCAAATTAGAAACTTTGACCTACTCGCTACTTTATCAACCATTTACATCAACTTGTCCACCTGTCTAGATCTCTCCCACGCTCATCCCAGACATCTGCCTTCAATATTGGCGCACACGATTTGGCTCTTCTGGCGGGGATTTATATTCTTGTGATCGTATGTTGAGGTAGTTAGAGGCCAGAGACTGATTTGATGAGAGTTATGTTCATTGAAACAAGAATGTATTAGGCTGCACTTGTGAAACTGATGAAGTTTTGGCAGGAGCAGATCTCATTGAAAGTGAGAGAAAGATTTGGTGGAGATTCTTGAATTATTGCCTTGTGGGCCAACTTCCTCGCCATTGATAAATTTAACTCAATTCGGCTCTTGACGAGTATTTCATTCCTGGATTCGTATAGGATTTGGTGGGTATTTGTCTAATCTTTGCCCTTCGAATCTGAATTTCACTCTAGGTTTCAAGAGACTACTTCTACTAAGGGCTCATATCGGGACAATATCCCAGATTGTGGCATCAAAGATACTAAATAGACTATTATTGCAAGTCATTACCATGTATTCTCTAAAAAATCACCAGTTCGGTGGCAAATATGTTAGATCAGATGGAAAGTCACACGCACTACCCTGTACTATATAATCTAGATAGTATATTATATATCCACCCATAATCTCTTTGGCTTCGTTGAAAATCAGATAATAGCCTTCATCATATTCTGTCATATAATTTTAGTCAACTAGCAACCATAAGACATTTAGAACTTGAAGAGTGTACCTGAGCCGTGTATTCCGTCATCTTTCATAAGTGGGAGCATGTAATACGGTTTATTTCTCTGATAAGTCAATTTATCGAAACTTGAGGGATAACCAAAGTCATTAAAGCGATTTTTATAAGCACGATCCAAAGCCTGGAAAAGGTATCTGTTAGGGAAATTGAGTCCTTGACACGAGAACTGTAAGTTGTGGTCCTGCACCGGGACTCGTAGCCGGTTCACCCCAGTGTCCACGCCTGTCATTGACAGTGCTGGAACTGCAAAGAGTAGTATCACAGCCGTGTTGATCATGCTGGAAAAATTCATGGCAGTTGCAGCTGTCGGTTTATTTTCTCGAAATGAAGCCGGATCAGTTCCAGGAGATTTATAGGATCGTACTGAGGTGAAAAGTGAAGTGATGTATGAATTGTGCACATTATCGTGACAGAAGACATTCCTGTGATTTTGTATTGAGGCATCCTTGGCCTACTTCAGCCTGAGTAGCTGGCTTGCAGAAATAATCTATTTGTCATGGTATTTTAAGAGCATCCTCCTTGGGCTCCGAATGGTTCATTCTTGAAGTAACAGAAGAATCCTTAAATCCACTTTTTTTTGGGTATCGACGACTAGGATGAGACAGGCCAAATACTCCCACGCCCATGAGACTAAGCCAAGCCAGGCCCAAGGTAGAAGTCTCCAGCTTGTTACTCATCTCTCGCCCCATTTAATGAGATCTAATTCTAGCACAACTAGAAAAAATCTGCATTAGAAGTAACTGATTACGATAGCACAGTGACGGGAAATTCGTCAATGATGTGTTCTTAAAACACAAAATGACGTCCTTAGCCACAGAAGACGATATGACTCGTCTACAGAAATTTCCTCCAATCTATTCCTTTCGCGTCCGACTAATTGCGTGTGTTATGTGTAAATTGAACGTCTGGCACATCTAAATGTGCAGGAATTTGTCACGTTACATACAATCATGTGTAATCCTTTAGATTGCGACCAATTTCCTTGCAGAATGCATTCTCACCTTTTGTGGCAATTCAGCGATTTTCTCTTGCATGAGCATATGTGGGGTGCTGGCCGGCCACGTATGAATAATACGTGAGAACAGGTAGTATCTGCGCAGCGATAAGTAGGTTGATATTCAACTCAAACTCAAATTTGTCTTTCTTCAGTTCAAGACTACATAGGACACAAAGCTCCTCTCTTCGCACAAGCCAAGAATACCTATACAAGTAGCAAATTAACTCATGTGTATCCTAGACTGTTCCCATCAAGCAGCATAACCTCTCACTAGACCTCATTTAAGCTTATACCTAGGGGAGCCTTTAGTCATTGGAGCAGTGTATATCCAGATTCTATAAACTCTATTTACTCAGGGCATTTAAGCTAGACCATTCCCAGAATTATCTTTGTTGCTACAACATCCGGTTTCTTCATTTTCCACTGGTACTAAAACTCTCTTTCTATTCCCATTAGTTCTGTAGTCCCGTGAGGAAATTTCCGGAGATACTACACAAATTCCAACCGCTGTGCATAAACTTTCTCTTATGACAATTAGAACCAGTGTATTTTGCTTGTTTCGCTTGTATATTGACGTGCTAGATAAAGTGACACCTATAGCACGGGTAGGGCCTGGTTGGATCAGGTTAGCTACCGTAATACTACAAATGCCTCGTCCCACCTAAATGACTGCAACTGTCATAGTTTAGATCCTAGCACAACTTAGGTATAAGCCTAACGCAATTGAATATTGAAGGATTAGTTTAAGTTAGTGATGAAGGATGATGAGAAAGACGAGCCTGAACACCTGTACGTGGTGTCCTCTACGAACCTGGGAGTCAAATATTCTCCCCGAGCCAAGTTCAGTCAAATTTCGCAATGTCGAACAAGTCAGCACACGAGGCAATGATTCAAAATACTCCACCATATCAATCTTTCACTCCCAACGAGTCCGAATCCTATCCAAGCCTCATCAAGTCTACAAGTACGACCTAATACATCCTCATCCCAATGACTACACCTCTCGTCGACTTTTTCTGGCCTCAGTTGACCACCAAATACACGCCCACGACTATATTTATACCCGACGAAGGAAGCAAAGCGTGGAGCACAAATCTGGTAGAAAGCTCTTTGGGATGGACGTGAGAGGGATCAAGACAAGTTTACAAGTTGATGCAGAAGAGGGAAACATCCTCGACGGGCGTGAAATTTCGAAGCTTGGTAAGAGTTTTACGAATTGAGCTTTGTGCGCGCCAAGACTTCGCTTGCGAGAGTGCAGCTGACACTATAAACACAAGCAAACGATGAAAGGTATTGTGATCCGCCTACTGGTGATGTTCTCCGGTATAGTATGAGTAGCCTGGGCACCTACTCCGCTTGGGAAGGAGACATCTCAGATTACATTTCGCGCGGAGAAAAGTTCATGGATAACGGAGGTATGTCTGGATAACCCAGGGTTTTTGAGACGTTTTCCTAAGTGGGTATTCACGGATGAGGGTTGACTTGGGGTGAAGAAAAAGTCGCCATAACTTCGCAGTGGTACTTGCAAATGAAATCCGAGGCATGAGTGCTCTTCCATTACGTTGAATCATCTATTCTGGACTTTTCTTTGATATTGTGTCATAGCTAGAAAGCTGCATACGCAATTAAAATCTGATGCAAAAAAAAAAAAAAGAGCGAGCGTTGTGAACTTAATTAATGGTGGGGTGGATGTAAGAATGAAAGATTATCACATAGTGTAAGCAGACTTGTGCTTGCATAAGTCTGGATCCAGTCCAAAAGCGAAAGCACGATCTGCGTGCAGGCATGTCAGACTAGTAATGATGATCAGGGGCATCAATAGGGTAGAACTAGATATTATAGTGCTACGATGGACTCGTAGCACGGAGTTAATTAATCAATTCATTCTTGTATTCGCTTTTACCTTTTGACGATTCACGTGACATTCGCACGAAGACCTCTCTAAGTTTTACATGGTAGTGTCACGGCGTAGAATAGGCACAAGTGAAAGTACAGCTTGTATGGCGATAATTCAATCTGTGAAGCAAATACTAAGCTGGAGAAGAATAGAAAAGAACAGGATCTCATTACAAAAAGCCCTGAGGCTATTCCTATTCGGGCGGGTTTCCACTAAATCGCTGCGTCCGTGCTCCTTCCTGCATCAGCCATCAGTCTCACATCCTCCCTCCACGTAATTGTATATCATGGCGGAGCAGAATGCCGTGCCGTGACATCACCCCCTCCTCAGCCTTCGATTGTCCCAAATCGACTAATTTCTGCGGCAGCGTTGGTTGTCACGACCTTGGTTGGTCACCATATTATCTTCCGGATGTTCCTCACTAAATCTATCATGTGCGGCATCGTCCAACCACGTAGCAAGACGTCTTGGTGGCCCTGGCAATTTAGGGTGCTCAGCGTGGAACTTTTCTAATATGAGGGGTGCGTTCCGAAAGTTGGCAGCCGGATACCATTCCTCGTCTGCGTCCCAGCCTTCCCATTGAACCTTGTACTGCAGCCGATTGCGATACAGCCGCGCGTCTAACACCTTCTCGATCTCCCATTCTAACTCTCCATTGACCTCTTCTGCCGGCGGCTCTGGATTGGCCTGGCCGGGCAACGGGTTATCTGGATCTTTGCGCAGTTGGTCTGGTGAAAATACAGGGTGTATTTTCCAAGAGGCGGGTAGTTGAACGCGGAATGAATGCCCTTCTTTGGCAATGATCCGATATGGTCCCACCATTGGATTTTCCAGCTTATCCGACGGTCTCGTAGTTCTCCAAGCACCGCGCCGGATATACACTTTATCTCCAACGTCAAAGTCTACTTCTCGGCGATGTTTATTGGCTTGAACACGCTGTTGTTCCTGTGAGCGTTTGATGCTCTCTTTAGCATAATCCAACGCGCTGCTAATCCGTTTAAGCCACACCGCGGCCTCGTCCCGATTCAGCTTCTCTCGAGGGGTTCGTGGTCCCAGTCGCTGATTCCAGTCAAATTCTAAACGCATTTCGTAACCATAGTCAATCATTGATGGCGACAATCCTGTAGATTCATTTGGAATAGCTGCCGCAGCAGCATCTAGAGCGGGAAGCAGCTCCGCCCAATCGTCTTGGTGGAAATTGACAAATGGTCGCAGTCGCTGGTCAATGATCTGGTTAATAATTTCGGTCTGGCCGTCTGTCTGCGGATGTTCTGCCGTAGATAGCTTGAGTTTGACGCGCGCTAACCTTGACAACTCATCCATGAAATCCGAAATGAATTGCGGACCGCGGTCGCTGGTAATGGTCTTCGGTGCGCCACGGAATCGCCAGACATAACGGTAGAACAAGTCTGCAGCAGTCTTTGCTGTAGCACTTTTAGTGGTGGGGATGGAGATTTGGCGTTTAGACAATCTATCAACAGCTACCCAAATGTTATTAAACCCTCGTTTGTCTGGTACCCCCACATCGTGAAAATCCATCGATATATCATCCCATGTACGTTCTGGAATGGCTAAAGGCTGTAGTAAGCCCGGTGTCTTGTCTCTAGGCTTATGCGATCGTCGGCAGACATGGCAGTTCTGCACATAACGCTCGATGTCTGCTGCGTATCGTGGCCACCAGTACCGGTCGCCGATTAGTTTCCTCATTTTGTTTCGTCCTGGATGAGCGGTGGATGTAGATTCGTGGATCATCTTCAACACTTGAGTACGGAGATTGTCTTTGGCTGACACCACCACGCGTCCCTTATGAAGCACCAACCCGGTAGGTTCCAAAGAATAAGGTTCTTCCCGCTGTCGTGCTTGCTGGCGTAGATCCTCGAGATCGGGATCTGCTCGGTTGGCCATAAAAATACGATCAATAGTATCCAGATCCTCGTCGATGGGCGCTAACACCTTGCTGTCATGTGGCAACGTAACTTTCTTTTGAGGGAGGAGGATTTTCGTACGTTCCAGTTCTTTTGCAGCTTTTTGTGTAGGGGTAAGTTCTTTCTTGCGAGATAACGCGTCTGCCAGAATATTTTCCTTGCCTGGTCGGTACTGAAGGTCGAAACTGAATTGCGATAGCACCTCTGACCATCGGATTTGCCTATCGTTGAGTAGCTGCTTCTGACCAAAGTATTGCAGAACTCGGTGATCAGTCAGAATCACGAACGGCTCCCAGGTGCTGGTGAGCTCTGCGCGCCATTCTTTCAAGCATTGGATGATAGCCAACAGCTCCTTATCATGGATCTCATAGTTTGCCTCCGGACCAGTCAAGGTTCGGGAGTGAAAAGCCACAGGATGCCACACGCCTTCCTCCTGCAATTGACTGAGTACTCCTCCTGTTGCTAGATCAGAA